ACTCCAGATTATTTACTGCAATGGTCCTGTTTGAGTCAAGAAATGGGATGTGGATGGGAGATGGGGAGAGATTGATTGAACACTTTCAATTAAAACAAGCTGTCTTTGCACAAAGATTTAAGATCCAGGCAAGGAGAAGGCAGTAACTCTTGGCTGGAACCCTTTCCAATATATTGCAGAATTAGGACAGAAAAAGATTGGGGTAAGAACGCCTAACTCTTCATTGCCAACAAAAATCTCAGGACGGTCTGGAAGTTGAAAATGTCAGCCTTCTCAGATTCTTATGTAGCTGATCTGTTTCCTGCAGACAGCAGGGAAAGACAAGACATTAGAATTAGGGAGGCAGGAGGGTTCTCTCGGGATCGTCTGAAATTCAGACTGATTTGGTGACTTTTACCCAGAGCTGTTTTGAACTAAAGGGTGGGGGTCAGTAACCCCAGCCTCCTACTTCACGGGATCCTTCAATAGGTAACGAGGGTTGGGACACTTACTGTTCATTCTCATTCATTCATTCATTCATTCAAACATTTGTTGGTCTCCTCTCATGTGTGTACTGCTACAAAGAGTGACAGGAATTTGAGTTCGACAAAGAAGAATTAGATAATTACAGTTTACAGTCTGGAGGAGGAAACTAACATGTCCCAGTTAACTACATCACCAAGCAGGGCGCATTGTCACTTTCACAAAAGCAACTACTATTTTTTTTAGGGCTTACTTTGTGCACCGTACAGTGTAGTTACCATCACCAATCCTCACGATACTCTGCAGGGTCAAAGCAAAATTCTGCACATATTTTACAGAAAGAGGAAACTGAAGGAAGGAGAGTTTGCGTAATTAAACAGAGTCTCGTGGCTTGAAAGTGTCAGAGGGAGCACATCAGCCTGAGTGTCTTTTAACAACATGCATCTTTTCTTCTCTCTTGAGCATGATCATAAATTCAAACACTAAATTCTATGGACACGTAGAAGGAGATTTAAATCCAAATGAAGGAATTCTGAAAGGCTTTCTGGAAGTGGGTGTATAATGAAGTTTTGAAGGACAAAGATGAATCTGAAAAGGAGGAGGAGGGACACGAGTGTCAGCAGCAGAATGGCGTGCGGTGGGGGCAAATGACTCAGGGCCAGAAACAAGACACAGAAAGGCCAGAGGGCCCATG